TCACAGGACACAATCTAATTCTTAGCTATCTGTGGTCATGTCTTTTAGGACAAAGCTTAGTGGGGGCTGGGCGGGGTTCCTGTTCACTCTGTTGTCTACATACTAATTAACCAGGCATTCCTACTTTTCTTGTCAGAGGGAGAAAAAGCAGAGTCCACCAACATTCTATAATTGCAGGTTGAGAAAAGTAGTGGAGAATGTCCAAGCATTCAGACTTACTATCTGGAAATTATAGACAACACAGTACACGGCTGCCCAGAGAGGGCAGTGAGATGTGTGGTCTGCAAAAGGCCAGTGGCTGAGAAGCACCGGGAAGTTCTCCTGGGACGTAGGCAGAGCTCAGCCCTTGCCACATCTATCTGAAGAATAGCTTTGCCTCTCGGTGTGCTTCTTCTGATTTCCTCACCGACCTTCGTCCAGTTTGGTAGCTCCAAGCTAGTGCATGTATCTCATTGACTTGTAGCAGCCACTGAAATTTGCTTCTACCTGTTCAAACTATCATCCGGAGGCTGCCTTTAAAAAAAGAGCAACAATTTATTTTAAAACAGTGATTGGCCGGGCGGCAGTGGTGCATGCCTTTAATCCCAGCACTCAGGAGGCAGAGCCAAGGCAGATCTCTGTGAGTTCGAGGCCAGTCTGGTCTACAGAGCAAGATCCAGGACATGCACCAAAACTACACAGAGAAACCCTGTCTCGAAACAACCCCCCCCCCCAAAAAAAAAATGATTGGGTTAGTATGTTAAGGGACTGTGGCCACTTTTAGTTCTTAGATATCCAGGTTTGGGTATTCATATGTGTTCACTGGTTGATGATATAGAGCCTATAATTAGACAGTCACTAAGAAATCCTTATTGAGACACTATCTCTACTGTACATACATTACATCGACATTATCTGCCTCCAACTTCGTAATCTGTGTCTTACATAAATAGAATTCTTACAAATGAACTCTAAACTCACTGAAACCTCCTCTGAAGTGATAGCAGCTGTCATTCAGAAACTGCAAACTCTTTGCCTGGCAGCTAGCCATAGCTTGCCAACTGTTTTCTTTACATTAAAAAGTTGTTGGTTTTTTTCCCATTGGCTGTTAATATTGAAAAATCTCAAAACTTCATATAATAAACCAGGTTTGCAATTATGAATAAAGCTTCTATAAACATTTTATGTGAAAATTTTTGCAACAATTTCAGTTTTCAGCATACTAGGTATATTCTAAGGATTGCAATTGCTGGATCACACATTGATTTTACAAGAAACTGGCCAACTGTCTTCCAAATTGCCAATAGAATTTTACATTCCTAGCAAAAATGAAGGAAGAGTTCTTATTACCTGCACATCCTTAGTACTATTTGATGTTATTGGTATTTTGGATATGTACATATAAATTTTAAAGTTACTTTCTTCATGCTTGCTGAATAGGACTACACTATACATCTTAACTTATCAGAATCCATTTCTGATTTATAATTTATAGTGATATATATGATATTTAACTTATAGTGACATGCAGAAACTTTACTCCTACATAGACTTGCTAGCTCTAATGTCTCCTTATTACTGGAGTTTAGCTGGGGTCTCTAAAGTTGTGTTGCAAGTTGGGTTATTAAGAATGGGTCAAGCTGGAGAGATGGCCCACAGTTAAGAGTACTTTATGCTCTTCCAGAGGAGCCAAATCCAGTTTCCAGCACACATAGGCCCTGGAGTAACCACTGTATTTGGAATAGTGTGTAGAGGGAAAGGATGTGGTCCAGAGACAGATAAAATAGGAATTTGAGAAAGATAATTATTTTTCTTTTTGCTTATAGTAATATAATAAAACAGCTGACAAACGCCTGAACTAAAATATGAATCCTCTTGGGATATTATATGCCCAGGTTACAAAGTAAAAAAAAAAATCTTGGTTTACTAGCCCATTTTTTTAAGTGAAGGTACCTTTCAGAAGAGAAAGTAGATATTTAGATGTAGCATGAATTTCTAAAAGGTCTTATTAATAAAAACAAACCTGGGAGCCAGATATTGGGGTGAACGCTGAAAGATCAGAGAAACAGAACAAGCCACAGCTAACCTCGCCTCGCTAATTCCTCAGCTGATCCTGTTTCCTCAAATTGGAAGCCTCTGTGTCCTCATCTGAATGGATCTCAGCTGAATTGCTGCTAAAAGCCTAAAAACTTAAAAAGGCTCTAGTTCCTGGTCCTCACGTCTTATATACCTTTCTGCTTCCTGCCATTACTTTCTGGGATTAAAGGGGTGTGTCACCTGGCTGTTTCCAGTGTGGCCTTGAACTCACAAAGATCCAGATGGATCTCTGCCTCCAGAATGCTAAGATTAAAGGCGTGTGTGTCACCAATTTGTGGTCTCTATGTTTAATATAGTAGCTGTTCTGTTCTCTGACCCCAGATAAGTTTATTGGGGTGCACAATATATTGGGGGACACAATATCACCACATTTAGATACCCAGTAGTCTCAGTTACAGGTCTTTAAATTAAAAATAGGTGAAGGGAAAAATATCCAATAGATTTACAGTACCACGTGTGAATTCCCTCCTGTGGAACAGGCCTCAAGTCTAATCAGAAAATTATTGGATAGCTTTGTAATCTTAATGCCACTGCTATACTAGTGGACATATCTTGTCATGCATGTCAGTATTATAGTACGCAGAAGCTAGTGCTGGATTAGACTAGTGATGTCTTTTTTTCCCTCAGCAGCTTTCATAGTTCCTTCTACAACCATGGAAGCTTAACAGCAGTGAGAGAGAGAGCATATTTCCTGGCCACTTGAGGTTGATGTCTCTATCTCTTGCATCCAAAGTGAATGATGTCTTCAGCAATAGGGTCTTATCATCTAATCATGGTGGGCAACCAAGAATAAGGACAGTAGTTTATTCTGTTTAGAGTACCTTTGGGGTCTCCTTGACCAATGACATGGAGGGCAGTATTCAGTGCCTAACACTGAAGTTTTCATTTAATAACCCAGGCCTTCTGGGAGCACCGTTTTCCACCCATGCAGGTTACTGCTGCTTAACCTCCTTTTGTATATTATGTTTTCAATGAACTTACAAACTGGTGAATTTCTATAAAGTTTCCTCAGATATCCTTAGTTTGGATAACCCACCCTTTACCCTCTTCTATCACCAATGCCATTATCCACACTCAAACTTTTAACCTCACGAAATCTCCCCTTTCCTTTCATGTTGCCCATGTTCTACTAACTCCTAATTAAAACTTTCTCTTGGGTTTGAAGCTCTTGGATTTCCATAGAGCATTTCTATGCAGCCTTCATTTTAGTTTAGCCTTCTACAACCTCATCCTTTTCCTACCCTCCACCCACTTGGTGCGTGAACATCTTTTTCCCTCTATTTCCCCTCTCTACTTTTAATTTTTTTCTATATTTTGATATCCCCCCCACCCTTAATACATCTTCTCACAATGGCCTGTTTCCAGTTCCTGGATAATAATTGCTTTTTTATTAATATTTAAGTTAACATACAAAAGTACGGGTTTCATTATGATATTTTCACTCCTATGTCATTGTACTTTGTTCTTAGTCGTTCTCCCCCATTTTTGTTTTCTCTATTAATTAACTAATTAATTAATCATAATACTAGGGATTGAACATAGGGGCTTGCGCATGTGGCACAAGCACTCTACCACTGAGCAATATACCCTCCCAATACTTGTTGGAGTCTCAAATTCAAATGTTTGATGCTCCATCTGAAGGTGGCTGCTGCTCCCTGGTTCCAGCTAAGTGTTACCATGCAAGAACATAAGCCCACTTTGCCTAGATATTCTTCTTAAAAAACAAATAAATAAAAGAAATAGGTAACTTCATTTTTTTCTGGAAATGGCTTCTTTTTTTTTTTTTTTTTTTTTTTTTTTTTTTTTTTTTT